GCCACCTGTTTCTTTAAAGGTTAGTTTTCAAAAAAAAATGTAGTACGTTTTTAAAGAATTTGTACTCTAATCTATTTAATCTTTTTAAAAGTTGGTTGATAGGTACCTATTTTTTTATATTTTATTCTCTAAAGAGTAAAAAATACTGGGGAAAATCACATCACGATTACTTACTCCATAAGCAATCTATGACCTTTGGCCAAAAGCAATCAGATTTTGACCTAACCATTCTAAAAATGCAATCAATTCCTTCCTTGCAAATTGAGCCCTTGTATACTCTCCAAGGATGATTGCCTCCAAATCGACAAATGGATTCTGTTGTTTTGTGAGGCATTTAAATCAAATCTTCCAGATAATAAGCCTAAGTCTGCCTCTTGGGAAAGGCACTTAATACATTTCCTATACAAGGCACTGATGACACTTAGCTTGTGAGGAACCATTTCTATCTTGATGTTGGAACTTGAATGACTTCCTGTCTCCAACAATATTCTATATGTCAAAGCAAATCTCAGAAAAAGTTTGAGAGGCTCATTCATTTTTAGCAGAGTGTGAGGACCAAGGTACTTAACATTAGACCAAAGTGCATTAACATTAGCATTACAGTGAAGGCTTTTTTTTTTTTTGCAGAACTCTCTTATTTTGATCTTCCTTTTCCCCCTCAACTAATTTGTCTTGTGTCCATGATTATCTATTTTGAGGAGTCATGAATCCACATCACTCTTTCAGGTGTATTATGCTATGAAATAAGAGAAAATTGACAGCCCAAGAGGTTTTCAAAATAGACCAATCCATTCTTGGCCTCAGACTGCCATTAAAGGAGACTTGAAAAGAATATAGCCACTTGTTTTGCTGTTAGGGAGTAAAACAAGTACACTAATTCTCATTCAACCACCATCAGGAGAGAGATCTGTGTGCTACTTTTTTTTGTAATTAACACAATTTTTTCTTGTACAGTTTTAGGCTATTTTGATAACTTCACATGATTTTCATATATAGTTGCCAGACCAGAATGTATGTTACCTGAATGTGTTTTCAAGAATTATGACTATAATGTCTTTTATGGGTTCTCATTTCCCAAGTTTCCATTTCATTTTTCTCATTAAACTAGATGGTTAGTTCTTATATTGTATTATCTCCTTATACCAATAGTTGGTTGTCCATTATATACCCTAGGAATTTTCTCTGTTGATAAGTTATAGCTCTCAGTTTTTATCTTAGTAGGATCTAAATAGTTAAATATCCTTGAGGAGAAGGTAAGTTTAAACTACCTAGAATTGGCATTTTAAATTTTCTAGTTTTTCTGCTCCCTGAGTCTCCTAACATGATTCCCCTTTGTCCTCTATATTTTTTACTAGTTTTATTGGTATCTTCCGATAGCTATCTTTTGAATATATAACCCAGGATCCTGGGTCCCTAAACCTCCTGTTTGTCCAAGGATCAGGAGAAAATGTGGAACAGTGCCTGGGACTCAGAATATTGACAGCTAGGATGGAAGCTAAGAAAGAAGCTGGTTTGGATCAGAAGAGCATGCTTTTTTTTTGTCATCTGTTGTTTCTATCTTTCATTCCAATCATTGGCTATGAGCACAAAATACTATTCTTCAGCCTGTTTCCCACTCTTCACATTCTAATTCAAAGGATCTTGGGAGATCATGAAAAATATCTCCACTTTCCAAGAGCCAGACTTCACTGGTAGGGGTGGACAAACCCAATTTGAGAGAGAAGTGTCAATGAAGGTGCATTTGCACTAAACTCTTTGTAGCCTTGGGGTCATATTTCTGTTCTCTCTCTCTCCTGGGAGGTCATGGACACAGAATTGATATTACTACTGAGGATCTATGTCTTGCTTCAGTGTCTAACTCCATTGTTTGCAAATGGTTAACACAACCTTTACATTCATGATGCCTATCAAATTCTGATTTCAACCAGGTTCAAAATCATCTTTGAGTTAGGCAGTTATGGTATTAAGATGAACAAAATAGACATGGCCCATAATTTTAAGGTGCTTTCTGTCAAATTAAGAAGCTGTACCTGTGGGAAGGAAGCCAGTGTTCGGTCAATGAATGCTATGGGTACAAAAGATTATGGTTGGTGATGAATCAGTGCTGAAACTGGCACTACAAGTTTCCTTATTTGTGAACAAAATACTATTTCTATTTCTTTAGGAAAATATTTTGGACCAAAACGCTCTGGCTAGAAACAAATCAAGACCTAGCCAGCCCTAATAGGGAAAGAACCATACTCTTACTTTGGCTTAATGGTGATGAAGAAAAACAAAGAAGTGAAACATAAAACTCCAAGAGAGAGAGAAAATCTGGATTATTAGAAATGTCTCCAGGGCCTATCACATCCATGGGTGGAAGAGGAGGAGGGAAAAGAACTTCAGATGTGCTTCATTGGTATCACTAGATTTAGATGCTTATTTTCATGTGTACGCTTACAGAATGTCTTAGAGTGTGTTGGTGGTGTTTATTCTGTATGCATTTGTGGTATACATTTTATAATTTTTTTAGTTGTCAATGGACCTTTATTTTATTTATTTTTATGTGTACTAAGGATGAAACCCAGTGCTTCACCCATACTAGGCAAGTACTCTGCCACTAAACCACAACCCCAGCCTGCGGTATATATTTGTCTGAATGTATTTGCGGATGTTGGCACATGAGTGAGAATAAGAGTATTTGTATGAAGGTGTGTGTTTTAAAAGAGGAGCTTTTGATAATTTTTAAATAAAAATCCTAATTCATAATCAATTCACCGCAGTTCAAAAAAAAAGGGTGCATATCCATGGTGAATCAGTTGTTCCTGATGGCCTATGAACTCTCTGAATATTGGTTTGCCTAATGTCCTTTTTTAAAAATATTTTTGGTTGTAGATGGGCATAATATCTTTATTTATTTACTTTTATGTGGTTCTGAGGATTGAACCTAGTGCCTCATACATGAAAGGCAAGTGTTTTATCACTGAGCTATAGCCCCAGGCCACTAGCATCCTTTAATGTAGAGTTGAGTTCCTAAAGAGTACTTCTTGAATGGCCAACTGGTACAACTTTAATGCATTCCTGAGTCTAGATAACAGGTTGAGAGGGGGCCATCTAGACATATGGGCCTCCTTGCTTTCCCTAAGAGATAATCATCTTTTTCATTCCTCATTCATTGATCATACCATTTACTGAGCTCTCCTTAAGTGTCAAATGATATAAGTGCCTGGGAAACCATGAGGACTCAGCATTTGCTGTCAAGGAGTTCACAGGGAGTCTACTTTACCCTTAACCACTCACATACTGTATTAGCTTTTCATCCCCATAACCAAAATACTTGGTAAGAGCAACTTTAAGAAAGAAAAGTTTACTTTGGCTCATGATTTCAGAGATTAATTCCATGGTTGGCCAACTCCATTGCTTTGGGGACTGAAGTGAGGTAGAACATCATGGTGAAAATGATGTGGTAGAGTAAAACTGCTCAGATAATGCTCAGATCATGGCAACCAGGGTCGATGCAGTGGAAAAACAAGACAGACAACAGAGAGAGACAGAGAAAAAGAGAGGAGGGGACAAAACATAATCGCCAAGGGCGTCCTCCCTCAATGATCTACTTCCTTAAGGCATGCCCCATCTGCCTATAGTTACCACCCTGCAGTTCATTCAAATTATTAATTCATCAAAGGGATTAATTGACTGATAATAAGTGCCTAGAACTCTGAGCCTTGCTGTATTGGGAACCATGTTTCCAAAGCATGAACTTTTCAGGAGACATTCCAGATCAGAAATATATACATATTAATAAGCTCCCTTCCTGAGAACTAATCTTCTTTTTTGACTCCTAGACTTCACTCCTAATGGATGAGCCATGTATTTTATCAGTATGTCTAAATTTGCTTTCAGCCGCATTTTCCTCCTTGCAGTCCATTCTACATAGACCACTACATAAGTCATTCTAAAACAAGATTATTATATTTTCACAATCCTACTCAAATCTCTTTAGTGGCTCTGCATTACATACAAGAAAAACTCTACCACTTCCCTATACAAATGCTTGTATTTACTCATTAGGTCAAAATGAGTAATACAGAATATATATATACAGAATATATATTATATATTAATACAGAATATATATTCTTAATACAGAATATATACATTCTGTATATATACAGAGAGAGAGAGAACATACTTTCCCAAATATTAATTTTTTTATTCTCAAAACATTTAGCATCTAATAACTGCCAGACATACAGAGGAAATAATTGCTTCTTTGTTTATATGATGATTTGATCAAATATCTGATATCAGTAGGTACTGATGTGTGGCCTTTTAGTATGAAACGTCTCACCTCGATGCCTCACAGTATTCTTTGCTTTTGCAGCAAGAGAGAATGATGTGAGAAGAAGCACTTCTTGCAGATGGCTCATGATCATCTCCTTGCTAACTCTGCTATGTCCTGCCATATTCTTTAAGTCTATCCCAAAGGTGTCATCCTGCCTACATATATAGAAGGATCAGTATCCAGTAGTGGTTTAGACGCTTTCTCCAAACTCCTTGAATCACTCCAGTCAATTCATGACCTGTGAATTAAACTCAGTTGCAAAGAACAGACTTCTTGGATGACACTGTTGGCTGCTTATGCAAGAATCCCTACCAAAATGTTCTCCTCACATTATCTATTTGTAGCAGTATATGTATGGTGTTGGTAAAGTATAAAGGGAAAGGATGGAGAAAATTTGATTGCAGATAGGGAGCCACGCCAAGTTTTTAAGGGTATTTTGTGGAAGAAGACAAGGATTCGCCTGCTGTGGGTCTGTGCTTTTTATTTGTGAATGGTAAGGATAGCAGAGGAAAGATGGATTTGGCTAAACCTAGACTAGTGAGGGTACAAAATTCATGTGAAACAAGATTTCTCCTCAGAACACAGCTACAAGGCCCTGCTGTAAGAAAATACCAATTTGTTTTCTTAAACCTATTGCATCATTTTTCATTTTTATCTTCCTAGGAAGTAAACTTACCATGTCCGTGTCAGACACAGGGCCAAAACTGGTCACATAGATGTCAGTCTTCACTTCAGTCACGGCATCTGAGCAAAATAAAGTAAAAAAAGCAGAATATCATGAAAGAGTGTTGCCTTAGATCAGAGAGAATACTTGCTATTTCTGAGAAAAGATGTTTCACACACTCATAGGAAAAACCCCTCAAGAACTTCTCACCTGTCCTGTTACTTCACAGAGAACATGCTAGATACAGGCATAAAGTAGGTTTCTACTTTAGTCAGTTGTTTTTCTTGCTATGAAAAAAACACCTGACAAGAATAATTTTAAGGAGGAAAAGTTTATTTTGGGGCTTGCAGTTTCTGAGTTCTCAGACCATTGATGGCTGATTCCATTCCTCAGAGGCCAAGGGGGAAACCTCATATCTAAACCATAACAGCTCATCCCTGGCCACCTAAAATTCAAGGCCATTTCATAATGCAAAATATATTCAGTCTATTCCAAGAGTCCCCATAGTCTTAACCGTTTTAGAACTGTCCTAAAGTCCAAGTCCAAATTAGCCTGTTATACTCAAGGCAATCTCTCATTGTGCACTCCTATAAAAATCAAAAGCAAATTGCAAATATCTAATATATAAAGGCATAGAGTAAACATTTCCATTACAAAATGAAGAAATAGGGGCATAGAAAGTTGGGATAGGACCAAAGTAAGACTGAAATACATCTGGGCAAACAAGTCTTCTAGTTCCATGTGTGCTATTTGGAGCACAGGAGATAATGATGTACTCTCCAAAAGGCTTGTGTAGCTCTGCCCCTGTGACCTTGTTGGTTGCAACCTACCTGGCCTCTTTGTTGGCTTGTTTCTGCTTGATTCCTGAAGTTTTCCTCAGCAGACTTCCCACATTATTGTCATTTCATAATCTCAGGGGTCTCCAGCAGCTTTGGCTTCTTTCTCTCATCTCCATGCATTGCCCTCTCAGGGGCAGCCCATAGGCACTCATCCCCATTGCACTTTGCCTGGCCTCCCAGGCCTCCCTTTGAAATCTTGGTAGAAACCTCCATGACCCCCTAACTCCAGCATCCTGCAGATTGCAGCAGTCTCTGAATGCCTTGGTGGATGCACTTGGTAAAACAAATTCTTGCCCCTACCCATGCAAGTACGGTGCCCCACTGGGCTCAAAGAAATTTTTACTTTTATACCCTTGAACCTGAGATTTCCTCAAGCCATTTTTTCCTATTGTTTCTGGGTAAAGTTTTTACCATTTCTTTAGTGTCTGTAATGTCTTTAACATTCATTACATCTTTATTAGCCCCAGTTTTATTCACAGTTTTCTGGACAAACTGCAAGATTTTCAAATCTTTCTGCTCCTGATTATCACAATAAAGTTGGCTGAAATTTGCCAGTAATATCCACACCATTGCCTGAATATTATGCTGCCTAGAAATTTCTTCCACCAGATTAAAAGTCCATCATCTTTAAATTCAATCTCACAGAAATCTCAGGACTTGAGCAAAATATAGACAACTTTTCAGCTGGAACATAACATGAATGGCCTACAGTCTGGCCTTCTGAGCTCTCACCAGAATTCCCTCTTCAAGTCCACTTATAATAATCTTAAACTTTTCCAGCTTGCATTGCTAAACTTTCTAAAATTCCTCCCACAAATTCCAAAAATCCCCCAAACCTTGTTCAGGTTAGTACAGCAATAACCCCACTTCTCAGTATCAATTTCTTCTGTTTTAGTCAGCTTTTATGCTACTATGATCAAAAGATCTGACACAAACAATTTTAAGGAGCAAAAATTTATTTGGGGGCTTATGTTTTCAGAGCTCTCAATTTATAGAGAGCTGACTCCATTTCTCAGTGCCCATGGCAAGCCAGTATGGTGGAGGAAAGCATCTAGGAGAGAATTCATCAACAGACATAAAATATATACCCCAAGGGAATGGCCCCCAAGATCTACCTCCTCCAGTCACACCCTACCTGCCTTGAGTTACCACATATTTAATTGAGTCACCACATATTTAAACCATTGGGATTAGACTCTTATAACCCAAATCATTTCACCTCTAAACCTTCTTGCATTATCTTACACATAAGCTTTTTGGGGGGACATCTCATAGTTAAACCATAACAGTATCTTTTTAGGTAGCACTGCAAATTACACCAGATTCCCAAAGCAACATAATTTAGAGAGGGCACTTAGAGATCCCTAGTATTTATTCATGTTGAGTTCTCTCACTAGGTTTACCATTACCTGTGTTAGGTTACAAATGTTGCAAAATCCAGCTCTCTCCCACTTCTAGAACCTAAGTAGATTTTACTACCACTCCCTTGCTCACATAAAGTAGAGAGGAGCAATGTGGCTGGTTCAAGTTGTGGGAGGAAGTATTGTGTCCCTTTCTTTCTGGAAAATTTAAGGTCTAATGCAAGGTCCTCTATGCAGAAGAGATCATGGAAAGCAACATATTTGATGTGGTGCTACCATAAGATCAAAAGAGTATGGAGTGACGAGCTATGGAGGACAACTGCCTTGGTGAGTAGTCTGGGTCCACAAGAGACTTTACATGAATGAGAAATACATTTTTGTTGAGTGACTGAGGTCTGGAGATAATTGATATCACATGATACATTCTCTTTATATTTTTTTCTTTATTATACTATCCTAATCCAAGAGCTTCTGAAGGGCAGCACCCCTGTTTTATCTCTATACCCTCAACATACAGAATAGTGGTTTGTTACTCAGATGGTGTCCACTAAACACTTTTTGTATTAATGGATGAATCCCATCACATATTTGTCATGTGGCAAAATAATACTGTCTTAGTCCATTTTTGCTGGCATAACAAAATTCCTTAGACTGGATAATTTTTAAATAACAGAAATTTATAGCTCACAGTTTTCAAGGCTGGGAAATCCAAAATCAAGACCCCAACAAAACTGAGAGCCCATTCCTCATATATGGTATCTTCTGTATCATCACCTAATGGAAGGGTCTAGGAAGTATTCTTAAGCCATTTTTATAAAAGCACTAATCCCATTCATGGACTAATCAGAACTGCAAGGCCCTCACCTCCTAACACTATCACAGTGAGGATTAAGTTTCAACATAGGAATATTGGAAAGACACAAACATTCAAATCATAATGGATACCCAGAAAATGAAGCTATCCCCCTTCCAAGTTTCTTGTTTTCTGCTTCTATAAGCCCTGTTTATCTCATTGCAGCTCATTTGGCCCACTCATGCCAGCGTGTCTCAGAGCACAAGGCAAAGCAGCCTACTCCAGACTAGTAAAGCCCATATCAGTAAGTCATCAAAGTCCCACTCTACGTGAGCGTGCCTGACCCTAGTGGAGATATCATCAATAAAGCCTACACAAGATTTTATAATTTTATATATTTGTATAATGAATTGGTTACTGAAGCCTAGGGTACTATTTCTTTTCTTTCACAGAGAGATAAGGCATTTACCTCCTCCATATGTACCATATTCTCTGCACTCAGGCAGTCCTGGATTCTCCCTGAATATACTTCATATCTTGTTGATTTCTCATATTCCAGAACTATCCCTGAAGAACTTATGGGTTCAATATACTCAAGGCCAATGCACTCATCCAAAAACATTCCATTTTCAAAAGATACTATAAGTATCATTTAGTAATAATCAACACTATAATCAATTCACCAAAAGACACAATTTGCTCCTAAGCTTAATCAGCAAATAACATGTCTCTAAAACTAGAGTTGTGTTTTAAATAGTTGGGCTCTTGTCTAGGGTACAGGCTGCCTCAGAGCTATTTCTGTACTTGAAGGAGCAGAGTCTATGCCTCAGAACTCATAATATGACTCCTAAAGGTATGTCTCCTCACACATACTACAAGGCTCATTTGCTGGTGAAGCAAATCCATTACACTTACTATTTGGCATAATGACTCCAATTGCTCTACTCCCAAGTACATAAAACACAATTAATTAACCAATGGAAGAGATCATAATCACATTAGAATCCTACGTAATAGGCAGGACATTCCAGACATACAACGACTTTCTACACCAATGGAATTGTACAATTTTAAAAGAGTTATATATATTTTCAACAGAGGACTCAGCTTACAGGGGAAAAAATGAGAAGAGAGTTGATGAGAAGATTCTACAAAATTCAAGGATACGATAGGACTGGAGAGATCATGTGTAAAGTTGCCCAGCTGTAAAGTGACAAAAAAAGATATCCTGTCAAAATTCCCTTCTCTCCCTTCTACTTCTCAGGCCAAGTCAGCACTTAATGACACTAGTTGAACATTCAAGTGGCAAGAGACTGTACTAATTCTGAGGGTACAAAAGGAACCAGCCATAAGAAAGAGCCTTGTGGTAGTCAGAAAGACTTGTGTTCTGGATCTCTTTTCCTGACTTGGTGAAAGCTTTACAAAAGAATGTTTTCCTTTGGTTACTCTTTAGCTGCAGAAAAGGGGAATTGGGAAGTTCACTCTGGTAATCATCTGTTATAATGGATACCAAACCCCTTCTTTAATTTCAAGAAAAAAATCTGGCAGGTAAGAGAATTATGGGAAGTGAAATAAAAAGTGGGGGAGAGGAAAGGCTAGAAGGAAAGGTAAAGGACAGAGGTAATTAAAAAGGATTTGAGGTAAAAGATGGAAATACAGGATGAATGAGGAAAAGTGTGAAGAGAGGGAAAGAAAGGAATAGATAAAAGGAAATAAAACTATCGATATAGAAACCTAGCAAGAGACAATGGGTAAATGAGAGAATAATGCTAAGAGATAAAAGGAGACATAATGCTTTTTTCACCAAAGGAGTCCCAAATCCCTCAAACATAAAGGTGTGGAAAAGTGATTTTACTCATATCCTGGAAGTCCAAATGAAAGAGTGTTTTGAATTTATATTAACAACCTTAGGTATTTGGCCTTCCATTCCAAGCCCAGGCAAACACTGGGATATCTGGCATCCCTCCATTGTTCTACACAGGGACCACCATGCCCCAATAGCTAATCTAATTCTCTGCCTAAGAAATCTAGAATCTTAAAGTAAGGTACTTGAGAAAACACACAGAAGTACCCTACAAAAGAATGAT